TACAAAATCCCTTCAAACAACAAACCATCAATCAAAACAATACATTCTTCATTAAAATTATAAAAGCATGTAATGTTAAATCACTGACTTTGACATCCAGCAGTACAACATGTTAACATAAACATATAAATGAAAATAGCTTAACAACTGCAATATATTTCATTCTATTAAAAACTGAGTAACTGACTTAGTAAAAATATAAGAAAATAACATTTTATCCTTGCACAACACACAATAAAACAAAGTAATTAAATATATATTTTTACTACGGAAGAGGATTAGGGCCACCATTAAAATATTATTTGAATTCTGCCTTTTTCTCACAGAATTTTGCCTTTTATCTCAGAATTCTGAGTTTAGAAAAAAAGTCAGAATTCTGAGATTAAAGTCAGAATTCTGAGAAAGTCAGAATTTAAATAATATTTTCATGGTGACCCTAATCCTCTTCCGTAGTAAAAATATATATTTAATTACTTTGTTTTATTGTGTGTTGTGCAAGGTTAGTTACTCAGTTTTTAGTAGAATGAAATATATTGCAGTTGTTAAGCTATTTTCATTGATATGTTTACGTTAACATGTTGTACTGCTGGATGTCAAAGTCAGTGATTAAACATTACATGCTTTTATAATTTTAATGAAGAATGTATTGTTTTGATTGAAGGTTTGTTGTTTGAAGGGATTTTGTAGGGAATTCATGATAAGTATAAGATTACAAAGTTTTGGCATGATTCACAACAGTGGTTTATAAAAGCAATATAACTGTTACAGTCTATCTAAAATGGGTCTCAGTCTGATACAGTATTTGTGTCCCTCTGCAGCCTGCATTTACTGTCACACTGAGGACATCTTGTGGTTCATGCTGGAACTGCAGTGATTGTTTGTAGTTCGATAATGTGTTTATACAAACCACAGATGATTCTGCCCCCTTCAGCATATTTTTGTTTAATTGTTGTATTTTTAATTTTTCACATTTTGTACAAATTAACATCTTGTATTTCCTTAGACTGAAAGTGCCAACCCAAATCCTGGAATCACCCCTGCTAACGAGCACAGGAGTAATATTAAACACTCTTTGAAATGTATTGTTCTTTCTTATCATCTTACCCCTTATTAAACTGAGTAGATCTACATCTGGATGGAAGAAAATGTCAGGATTATATTAGAGATTTTGTAAAAGTATAAGTGAAGAGTTTTTTTATGTTGTTCTGTCCTGGCCGCTTGGGTGCTGCTTCATCACAATGCTGAGACAGACGCCAAGCATATGTATTACTTTTAAAAGGAATTAAAACGGAAATGTCTGGAAGTTTTGAATCCTCAGTCATTAAAAAATCATTGTTAAATGTAAGTCCATCCATCCATCCATCCATCCATTATCTATACTGCTTTATCCATCTGGGTCGCGAGGAAGCTGGAGCCAATCCCAGCATCTTCGGGCGAGAGGCGGGGTACACCCTGGGCAGGTTGCGACATGTAAGT